TGGTGCGAACACGTGTTTTGTGCAATCCTGTCTAGCTAACGCTTGTGCAATTCTGCCCGGCGGGCACTTTTGGAACCCTGTCCGCTGGTGCTTGTGCAACTTTGTGCAGGGGAACCCTGCTGTTAAAAGTGTCCGCTGCATTGTTTAGTAAGTTAAATGCTAGTTTTGGCGCCAGAATTTTCGCGCGCCCGTCTGGGAATTAGGCAAGGGTTGGATTCACACGTAGGCAGAAGCACTATTTTGAAATTTCGGCTTCCTGCTTTTCACGGTAAACTTTACATGTCTCTAAGTGAGATCTAGGCATGTGGGGAAGCTAACTTTGAGTCTGCAGGGTCGTACGCAGGCAAGGGACATTCTCCTAAATTTCCAGCCTCTTAGCTGACCTGGTTCTCAAGTTATTAATTTTGGCGCCAAAAATTTTACGCGTTCGTACGTGAGGCTTAGACGCAAGTAAAGGCTGAATTTAACTTCACGTAGTCACATGCGGGCAAGAAACATTCCCCTAAAATTTCAGCTACTGTGCAACCAGAATTATTAATTTAGGCACCAAATTCACGTGGTCGCATGTGAAGCATAAACGCGCGCGGATGTTGAATTTGAGTTTGGGAGGTCATACACGGCTAGAAGGTCCCCTCTTCTCTGCCATTAATTTTTAGCTTCCTAGTGCTGTAAAATTCCTGATCTCGGACAGAAAAAATAATTGGCCAATGCACGGGCTGTCCGTGTGATGATGCGTTTTTTGCATAGTTCCCCGCGGTTTTTGTCGCTACCGGCATCGGTTTTTTCGGCAGATCCTTCTAGCTAAATAAATTAAGACTGGCCGCCAAAACTGGCAGGAAACACCCCCTTAAAATTTCAGCTTTCTAGCTTTCCTGGCTCCTGGGTTAACAATTTACTGGAAAAAATTTTTCACAAGCCCGCACTCGGGTACCACGCATACCTGATGTCTGAGTTTGAGCTAGTTGAGACTTACTTGGACGGAAAACATCTTCCTAAAACTACAGCCTCTTAGCTTTACAGGTTCACGAGTTATGAGCTTATCCGAGAAAAACATTGGTGAACCCGTGCGTGGGTACCACGCATGACCGAGGGCTGGGTTTGATCTCGTTAAGACTAATATGGAC